ATGCAAGGAATCAAAAGCAATATTACAGCATCTACAGAACAACCAGTAAGTGTGTGTAATATAATTTTATAATAATAATTGACAATTCACAATGTCATAACTGGACAACGGTCACTAACTTGTATCATCCGACAATAGCCGAAACGCTAGACCAAGCCATTTTGGACCATATACAAGCAATGCTATTTTGGTCTGCCCTATTCAGGTACCGAGTGAAATAAAACACTGTACACTGAACATTGAACGCACCGAAAATAATCACTTATAACACATCAAAAGCACATTGACAAAACTCTTACAACGGACCGCAGCTACATAGTCATTAGTATAAAATCGCCCGGTGCAACATACTAATGTATTATCTCTATTATATTGTATCGCTACTATGATTAATCACAAGTAATCACCTGTTCTATTACAGTCGTGATGTCTTGTAGACAACAATAATACATAATATAATAAATTGTATTTTTAAACGTCCGACGAAATCAACGAACGAGTAATTTGGCCCAGAAATGCACAATTAATTTTTTGTGATCACATTAAACCAATATAACGTTGAAGTGGCTGAAGTTGAAAATTCCCAAGTTCTTTTTATCTTGTCTAGAAAAATTTCCCTAGATACGTCACTGCTTATGCCCATCGCCTACCGTACACCTATAGGTCTGCACTTCACTCACTGTATAAATTTGACACGCCAGAGGGAGGTATAGAACAAGGTCAGGGAAACTCTGGTTGGGCAATTATTGTTTAATTTTGTAAGACGCGTCAAGTGACATGCCAATTGTTGTCTGCCGCAATTACTCGAAACTTAAAATTACAGGTTGTTATACATCCCAGTTGTCGTCTTAATGAGCATTGTTAACTTGTTGGGTCAAGTTGACTGGCGGTCGATAATCTTCCTACAACGACCAAACATTACAAAAATATAATAGTCTTACAACCGAGGACACGCACAAAAGGGTATAAAAAAAAGGTATAAGAAAAGGTGTAATAAGGTATAAGCATCCCCAGAATTTTGATTTCCAGAAAATAATCATTTGAAAAATGATCTGATATAAAATGTTACATAATATGCATTTTTAAGTCCATAAAAATAAACGCCATATTAACAAAAAACAGTTATTTTTTCTTTAATATTAGGTATTAAAATTGTTTTAATTTTAATTAATTTCCAAAAACAACTATTTTGTAAAGTGAAATTGTACCATTAACAATTTATTGGTTGTAAAAATATTAAACGAAAAAAATATATGTATATTTTCTCAGATTCGCATTGAAGTTATAACTAAGGCGGTATAGTTGGTTTAAGTATAATCTATTTTAATGTACTTGATCTGTTCTTAGTCAAACATATTTTCGAGGATCTTATTCTTGTGATCAATAATCATTTGATAAACACATTTTGATAATAATAACTATACTATTTGATGATTTATATACATCATGGCGGCGGGGCATTTAACAACAAAGTGCGTTGGACGCACTAACTGCGAGCGTCCGGCACTATACACTTGAAAAAACCTTTTCATATGATTTGCGTGTAAAATCAAAAATATTATATAGAGAAATTAAAATCCGATTTAACGCGTCTGCAATAGGTGGACGTGCCACATGAATGGAAATCGTTTTTATGGTTATTTTCACCGTCATATGCGCGCGCGCGCGCTCGTCTCGCGGTATTCGATCAATTGGCAAGAAACCTGTGCTCCTCCACTGTATGTATACGTATATACAGCAATAGGTAGGTACCCATCTATCCATCTGTAATATCGTCTTCATCATTATAATAATAATAATAAACGATCGGAAACGATGCGACGGCGCCGGAACTTAAAAACTGTGAAAGCGACGTTATTGTTGTTAACATAACATATTTTTCATCTATCGATAAATATATATATATATATATATATACATATATTTGATATGCAGTACAAAACGACAAATGTTTTCGATTAAAAAAAAAAAAAAAAACACCGATGTGACCACGTCAAAAAAAAAAAAAAAAACGTTGTTAACGACAAAATAAAAGAATTATGATTTCATATCCGTCAGCGGTCCAGTCGCGCGGCGGTCGATGGAAACTGCGAGATAAAGAAATCATCATAATCGTCTGCCGGCAATCGAAAGATCATCGTTGTGGTACACGACTTACGCAATTATATATTATATTATTATTATTATTATTATTATTATCGAGCAAAAGAGAAGAAGAAGAAGACGACGACGGACGGGTCTAGGCGATTTTTATTGGCGTCACATTTGTCTTGGTCTCGTTTGATGTTTATTATTTATTATTATTATATATTATATACAATTGCGCTTTGTATGGTTTTTAATTTGCTTAGAAAAACCATTATGTCGAGTGTGTGTGTGTGTGTGTGTGTGTGTATGATATGACAAGAAGATGAAACACAATACGAAAAAAAAAATAATAATAAATTGTATAAATGGTTATGTAAAAATATATTATACGTGTTTGTGCGGTGTGCAAAATATGTAATCCTGTCCCGCTGGGTGACCAAAACGGAAAAGGAATAAGATCAGTCAGATAGATGTGGTGTATACATAATAATATTTAATATAGCACAACGGCGGAGTTGGAATCACTATAGCGTTATTTGCGTTAATTATATTATGTCCACCGATTGTTAGATCATCTACGTGCGAGTCTACATAGACAGTGGTAGTAGCTTCCATTTGTATATAATATATCTAAATACATAACATGCATTGTAATATATTGTCTTAGCGTTATGCGTAAACGCGCATAATTAATTTTTTCCATAAAAATTATTATAACATCAAAATTATAACGCAATATTATGTACTCGTTTTGACTGGGTGACTTCAACGCCAGTTCCTATATGTCCAAAACACGCCTTGTCCGACCACCTTCTACTAAGGAACGTGTACAGGCTTAATTGGTAAATATTTTGCTATATCGACCAAGATTTGTGTTTAGGACATTTAATGAGAGATTTGGTTCAGTGTGCTGGTGGCTATATGTATATAATTGTCAATCATGATTTTACCAGACTTGACCAGAGGCGCGCGACCAGGACGTGTATCCGGGAGGCGTTATGACTTTCAAATTATAGTTAGTACACGGGATTTATGTAATGCACAATATAAACTTCGTATTCATTAAGAGAAAAAAAAAATAAAATTTCGTCAAGTGGTTAAAACCCCTTGATTTCCTTTCGTTACGCCACAGGTCTCGAAGGTAAGACATAGTGGACTGACCACTGGGGATTTGTACCTTCCAGGGCTAGTACAAAATTACTAAATTATGGCCTGGAGAGCTATATATTGTATTGTTTAAATAAAAGCTATAAAAAATAGCCCGGCGACATGAATGTTATATTATGTGTTAATGTAATGTTATGCTCAATACCTAATGTTTTATGGAATATGTGCGTTTGGAAGGAGAGACAGTCGGTTGCAATTGATCCTCAGGCCGCTGTCTTTGGTCTGGATTGCTTGTGATTAAAAATGTTTGTTATATATGGAATGGAATGTAAATGTGCGTTTGCCCTGCTTTAGTGTAATGTTTATTTTGATTGTATGTACGGTGGGTGTATGTAATGCATGTTGTGTAGGCACATATACTATGAGAACGTGCAAACAATGAGACCTGACCGGTGCGCGCGCGCCAAGAGGTCATCCGATATTTCATAATAATAATAATATATTATTCCTGTTGGGTATATATTTTTAAGTGCCTTAAGGACATTGCAATTGACGCGGGTCTTTCACACGTTATTCGGATTGGAAAAGCACTTCGGGTCAAGGTGTTGGTACGATGTGGTCTTAGCCAAATCGACAAAAGTACATGTGTGCGCTAAATAAATGTGAAATTAAACGGCCAAAACGTTTGATAGTGATACGTGATACGTTTTTAACGATGAACGGTGAAGTTTATATTGTATTCAATGTCAAACACAGAGTAAACCGTATTAGTAGCCACATAGATAAGAAATACATAGTAAACAAATCGAGTGGGAATAATTGGATACATAATCCAAACGTGTTTTATATTGTAAAAAAAAAAAAATAACTTCATAATTACTTAATAATATGCCCGTTAATGTGTTAAAAATTTAAAACTATATACTTGAATCTCGAAGGACAAATCTTCATATTGAAGAAAACACATTAGGTAGTAAAATTCAGTTTATTAAAATTATTGTTGATGATTTTTCAATTAATGTTATAAATTATGTAAATAGCATCGAGTCCTGTTTAAAAGATAATTTGCATTTATATTTTTTAATTATTATGATTTTTAGCGTACCTACATCGAGATTAGACAACTGTTGTGAACAGAGTTGTTTTGAGGATTAATAATAATAATATTATTATACAGCACACAAGTTGTAGTTTGAAAAAGACATTAAACGTTTAAAGCGCTAATGATTTCCTACGGCTATTTTTTTAATATTATACCAAATAGGCCTGTGTAGTATTATGAAGCACGATTAGGTAAGCCTTTAAAGCAGATCCCTTTAAATCGGATCTGTGCCGAACGCAACTTATCTAACTTTGATTTTTTCTTGTAAATAAACATTTTATTTTCAATTTGTACTATTATTATATTGTACATTACTTATATTTTTATATCTCACGCACGTGATGTACCCGTACTTGAGCCTTCCAGCCTCCAGGTGTTAATTGAATAAAATAAAAAAAGTTATTAAATTTTTAGTCCTTTTAATAAGCAATTAAGTCACAGTATTTTAGATTCTCTAGTCGTTTTCGCTGTACATAAATAGACTCGTGTCCTTTCTGCATATTTTATTGTAACGGGATATAAAAATGAATTTATGTGGTTAAACCATTTTCGGTAAACCAGCGTACGTGGTGTGCCCTATCTGATCTCAAAATTACTATATATATTTTTAGAATTCTCAGTGTATCTTGTGTACACTGAAATTCCAAAATCCAAACGAGGATTTGTCTCGAGGAAATTTTATTAATTAATTTTTGCTACTCACCGTTGTCGATGCGGTTGCGAATTGCCGCCGAATCCTTTGAATCCGTCAAAGAGTGAGTGGCGGCGACAAGTGTGTTTTAACTGTGTAATTCGTGTAAACTGCACCAGGCAAAACACGATTAACCAAAACGACACGAGCAAAAAAAAAACACTGTTGTTGGGTTAGCGCGGCATACCCTTCGCGGTGCACTGGAGAACGCGGTTTGGACGCACCGGCGGCGCAGACCTGTCGGAGAAGACCACCGCCGCCGTGAAGAGCGACAAACAAGCAAGCGGTAGAGGCAACAAAGAAAGTGGGGTGGTCGCGTGTGGGCGCCGCCGCCGCTCGTGGAAAGGAAAAGTGAAGAGAGACCCGACTTCGGGTGTCGTTGGCATTGGTAGCCCCAAGGTCGACCTATGGGTATGGGTATTGGGTACCTACCATGTGCACCAGAGGTAAGGTAAGGTAATGTTATTATTTACACCAAAACGATCGAGAGTGCATTAATATATTATGATGTTTGTTCTCACGAAACGCAACCCCGAGACGTTAACGTGTCGGGTTCATACGTTAAGAGTTTATATTTATACATCTGTGGGATTTAACACGTCTGCAGAGGTAATAAATAATAATACGCCACGAATCATTCCACGAGATGACGCATCACCGGCTACGGGCCATTTTTGTGGTCATGTTTATGTAACTCATAATAGTAATAATGTATAATGTGTACACTCGAATTATTGTTCTTTTTTTTTTTTCACCATGCGGGTAAGGTACACCCACGATTTGCACGTGTCCACCGGAACGTGATGTCTTAGCCGTGAAGTCTTAGCGGCAATGTACTTGTAGGGTCAATGTCCATATTATTTTAAAGACCAACGCTCGATCATGATGTATTAATCTGACAAAAAAAATGTTTAAACAAAATTCCAGAAATTCTAAAAAAAAAAAACAAACAACAATCAAGCCAGCCCGAAAACCTAATCAATTCTTCTATGAGCAATTTCAAACCGTGCAACGACAACAGTTTTAGATGCATTGTGGGTTTTAGTGCGACGTCTTTGGCCTTTGAGTGCACACAGGGTACCTTAGATACAATTTTAAGTGACTTAACGTTACTAGTATTTTGACCAAGTAAGATTTGTGGGTTCATAAAAGATGTTAGAAATCTGGAATAGAATGGAGAAAAAAAACACTACACTTCTATATGTTATTGTAAAACACAAATCATTATTAATCGACTTAATATATTCGTCGTGGCAAAACATTAATAACTAAATCGTTTTATCCATTTTTCTTACTTTCCAACTCTTACTCGATGACGAACTGGTTTGACAAATGAGAAATGTAAAAACACAATAACCAACGTTATTTTTCTAAGACAGTAACACTGATGATAATTACTATAATATATACTTACTAGTTCAATAAATTCAGACGACAACGCCAACCACTCTGTTAAAAATCATATTGGTTTCAAAGAGCAAAGTTTACTACTTAGAGCACTTTTTTTTAAAAAAAAAAACCTAATCTATAAAAATGCATTTTTTTACAAAATGTCAAAATATCAAGTCCGACACGTTAACCGATAAGATTATGATTAAATTATTAGTCGATTTAAACTTTTTAAATTAAACAGTTATTTTTAGTAATAATTAACTTAATTACATAAGCCAACTTTCTGATTTCTGTATTAACTCAATAACTTGACTAATTATCTTTTTGATTGACCACAATTTATTAGGTATTTTTTTTTAAACAATACGACACAGTTAGGTGTAAAACTTGTGTACCTAAAATAGTATTTTTTTATTGTTTACCCGACTTGTGTTAATTCGATACCGACCGTATTTTTAATTTCAAATTTGATTTAAAAGTTTAAAACTTTCAAATGTAAATTAATGGAACTCGACTGAGTCAACTGAAAAATGAACTTAACGTTGTAACTTGATCGATAATTGTTTTAAGACGTTCCATTAATAATTTTGAACATTTATCAATTACGAACACTGTAACTCTGTATTTGTGACATAACCACTATAATTGTTATGATATTATATACTTAAGTGATAAATGGCATAACATAATCTACGTTTAAAGCATCGTCATCGGGTATTGCACACGTTCAAAAGATTTCACTTATAAAAGTGGCATTTGCCATATTTTCAGTTATCTATAAATAATGGTTAATAAATTATCGTACCCAACTGTGCCCTTTTGATTCGCTGTTTAAAATATATATTAAAAAAATATTTCCCGTGAAAGTCTAATCAGTAATCAGTTGGCAGCTACAGCAATAGCTACCTCTATTCCTCAATGTCAGTTTACGACATTTACATAAACAGCGTTTGTGTACTAAACTCGATTAAGAAGGCTAGATTATGTGGCGGTTACTAAATTTTATTGAACTATTACTACTTTGTTTTTTTTTTGTTTTTTAACTCGTTTATTTCTTGTAACTATAACGGGTAGTACAACGGGTATAACGGTGGTTTAGTTATACTGTGTGTATTAGGTACACCGAGTATATATAGTGTTAAAAAAAATTCAATTATAATAATAAATATAACATAATCTACGTTACAACAGATAAAAATAATAACAATAATGTAATTACTACATATTTGGGCACTTGACGTTTTCAGTGTTACTAATACCCAACCTTGTGTTTGGTCACGACAAATTAGTCCTGTCTAATCGGTGTCCCAAATATTCTAATAATAATATTGTTATTATTATTATTATTATTACAATAGTGCCTTTAAACATAGTTATGGAATCGAATATAAATAGTAGTGACTAATGCCGTTGTATACTAATTTGTGTTGTTGTGAACAAGTAAAATATTATAAAATATCTATGAGGAAATGTTGAGACGTGTTTGTTAAATAATATATATTATGTTGTGCAGATACCTAACACAATGTTATATATTATACATATTTGCGTTATCCGTGGAGAAAAAAAAATGAGTAATAACAATAATTAGATTCAAGTGCTGCCTACACCTAAATCCGGAGTCTTAAAAACACCTGCGTAACGAGTAGAGAGTGAATGAGAGGAAAAGAATTCGTATGTAGCTACCTATAAAATGCGCCCAGATGAGGTCTGGGGGTGAATAACAGGTTTTACCCTGATACAAGAAAATATGTGTGTACATTAGCCGAATAACTCGATATTCTATTATATTATGGTGTTAGTCAATAGTCACACACACGCAACAACAGTCTACTCTGAACCAAAATAATTTAATAAAATAAATCGAATGGATTTTAATAAAACGCATTGTTAATTAGCAAATCGAATGTATAAACATTAATATAAATTAAGAAAATGGAAATAGTTTATAATATATAAAATACGGATTTTAGTTGGAAAAAAAAACATAATAGGTAATTTGTAAAATAATAAAAATACATAGTTTGACCAACTAAAGTTATGGTTAAAATACAATAAATTTAATTGGACCATCTAAGTAAATAGTTCGGATTAACTAGTTCAGTTAGATAAACCATAAATGTTTACTGTTAAAAGCAACTGTTCAGTTATTCCAACTATATACATTTACTGTGCCCATATATTTGCAATACTTTTAATAAGTCTATGTATATTTATATATTTTTTTAAGTTGTATTTATTATATTATATTTATTATTTATTAATAATTTTATGCAAAGTATATTTGAAAAACTAATTTATAAATTTAAAAACCATAATTTTTATAATATGTAATTGTTCATACATATTATCTTAATGCAATTTAAATTGATTTCTCTGTTTTAATTACAAATGTCATTTAGGTATATTGTTAACGCACATTAACAACGGTATAATATAAACGAGGTAGATATTCTAAAATCGTATTCTAAAAATGTTATCTAAATTGTGTAATTATTAGTCACAATTATTTTTATCTGCACAAACAATTACTAAACGATTATTATCAAGAGAAACGGAAAGCGCTATTTATTAAGGGGCAAAGGATAGGCAATATTTTACAAAAAATTTATCTAGTAGCCATTAGTTAACAATACGATTAATTTTAAGGTGGAAAAACATTAAGTTTTTCTAGTCGTAATTCTTTTTAAGTTATTCGTCTCCGAATTGTGGAGAAAGTTTGATCAAAAATGAAAGTCATTTTCTGCCGCATCTATTTGGACGGATTTCAATTTTTATTTGAAGCTTACTATTTTCGTATGGTGGCTAAAAGGCAAACTGATGATTTAGCAATTAGAAAATTAGACAGATTTATTAGAAAAAAAAATATAAATGCTTATAAAATTTGTATGAAAACAAAAATAAAAAAAAAACGGCCTTTTAGCCCTCGTAGAAAATATGTTAAACTATTTAACAAAAATGAATTAGGTATTAAAATCGGTTTGGTAGACACTTCACAAAGTGACTTCGCGTTTAGAAATGTTATAGTTTTACTATGTGCTTAGTATACATATATATATATATATATATATATATATATATATTTGATTGCATAAGACCAAACTTTCACGCGAATTGAATGAGATTTATCTAATATTTGCATCTTTAGCGGCGCGTACACATATCAATAAATAATTATATCTAAACGAAAGATAATAAATTGGTCGTGGTGCATATCATTATAACGGTTATAGAATTACACGAACGTCTGAGTGAGAAATCAGAGCTATAGACTATGGCATAAGTGCCAGGACCGATATAGGTAGGTACTGTGTGTGTGTGTGTTATATTTACTACTAATTTCTAAACGGACGGATTGTTAATTATTTAAAGCACAAGAAAGCGGTCCTAGATTAACTCGGTGATTAATATTCGCTTTTATTTTTTTTTTTATTCAAGACGGATAGGTCGAAACGTCAGTTTGGCGACTACGATCTTGTACAAAAAATATACACCAGAGGTCCTGTTAGTGTGACAACTGTGCAAGTTTAAACATTCATAATAACGATTTTTCGAAGCGTGCCGGAATGCCATAGCGATGATGACTGTCGGCGATTGATGAGCCCCATTCGTACAACAACTGTTTAAGTACAGTATTTTTAAACGCGTCGATTTCGCTTGCGACTTCCCGCTGACTCAACCCGGCCGTCGAGTTTCACAATAAAAAAACATTTACAAAACCTAGTTGTGGAACTTTTGTTTTAACGGTCAATTTCATTACAACAACACCGTTGACTCGTCAAACAAATATCAATCCCATTTTAAAGTCTCGAAGCTCCCAAAAAAAATCATTAACGTCACTCC